CTTGTGAAATCCATACCAGGGCCAACTAATCATCTTTTTAAATTTTTTCCACATTCATCAACTATTCTTTTAATAATGAATTGTAGAGGGGTGCTTGCGTCACTCAGTCAGTTAACCATCCGACTTCAGCTCAGGTCATGATCTCACCATTTGTGAGTTCGAGCCCCACATCGAGCTCTGTGCTGACAGCTCAGAGCCTGGAGCCTGCTCCGGATTCTGTGTCTCCCCCTCTGTCTGCCCCTCCCATGCTCATGCTCTGTCTCTATCTGTCTCTCAATAATAAACGTTAAAAAAATTTTTAAAAAATAATGAATTATAGAATCTTTTCTGAAATTACATGTGCTAATCTACACACTAGGCCAAGTTTTGAAATGGGATTTTGAAAGTATTCTTGGGAAGCCCAAATCTGTTCTCAGATACCTCAGTACAGCTAGAGCTATTTGCCTTAATACATATCCTTTTGATAAATGTTGCTCATGTATGTTGGGACAAACAACTCTTTTTTGAGGATGGCTTACCCAATTTTGATTTTGTTGGTTTAGAGTAGCTTTTGCCAAGGTTTATCTATCATTAAAGTGTCTAATGTCTAGGTAAGCATGTATACCATATGATGAAGCTACTTGTCTGATGTCTGCCAAATCATGCTTTTCTTTGCTATTTTTAGAAAATTGCTTTTCTCCTAAATATCCTAACAGACATCTAAGAAGATGGTAGCATTAGGACAGGTCACAAATTCTTGCCCTTCCTCCCACAAATCAACAAAAAAGACCGCAGAGAAACAAACACTGAGAAAAACCTTTATAATGAGGGCAGCAGAACTCAAGGAATTTCCCTAAGACTATGATGCTGATGCAGCAAGTTTGAAGAGTATCACCAATCTGAAGAAGTTCTGTGATATACTAACAAATCAAGAAATCCTGACAGAAACCCATGAATACCACCTAGTTTTAGAGAGCAATGACTGGAGTTGGGGGTCAGACAGTGAAAAAGACTGGGATGAAAACCTCTCATAAGTTGAGGGAAGCCTAAGTAAATTTCCATCTTATTTAAGTCTCTTAGTATATTTTTAAAATAAAAGAATGCCAAATTAGGAATATCAAAATTGCTATAGTTTAAAATTTTTACATTTAGTAAATTAAACTGTATGATGAACATTTTCCATCATGATGATCTGGATCTATGGCTGGGATAATCACTTCATTTGAGGATAATGTAAAAATTCTGAATTTAAGTCCATTTGTGAAAATGAGACACAGGCTAAATGGCTATCCTGATACCCTAATCCCAGTCCCTGACAGGAATTACTCAATTTGTTTCTATTTTGACTCTGCAAATCAACTGAATTTGGAGCAGGCTATCTCCTCAAAGGGCAAGCTCAGTCTCTGATAATGGTTTGTCAATAAACATAGCGGGCTCAAAATGATGCAAGAGTCCTCTTTAACGAACCAGCAAGGCTTGTTTCAATGTTATGTATTCACTCTCCCTGCTCCTGACACACATGGTGAGAGTATATATGATATCACGTATGGAGAGGCCAAAAAAGCAAATGTAGAAAGGGGTCTTGAGGTGAACTTACGCTAGGATTGCCCCTGGCCCTACTTCCCACGCCATTACCTCATCCTTCTGGATCACAGAACCAGCAATGTACACTTACACCATCCAGACATGTAGTATAAACTTAGGGAATGAGTGACAACCAAGTAAACAGTAGAAACATGTAAGAATTGCTAGACTTTTATTTGAGGGAAAGAGATAGCAGGTTAGGATATACCTTTCTTGATTCAATAATGAGTAAGTGGATAAACTGTGAATTAATAATAGATGAAAAAAAACCCAAAACAAAAGCAGAACTATAAAAAGAACATAATATTACAACATTTAAGAGATAAAGAATAATTAAAAGAGTAAATAAAGTCAGAAACAAAAATTAATGAACTAGAAAGAAAAAATAGAATTAAGAGGTTAAAGACCTGGATCTTTTCAGGGAGAAAACAAAATATATTAAAAAATAGATATATTGCTTCTTAGCCTTTTGGCAAAGATCAAGTGTAAAAATAGATAAACATCTGGCAAGAATAATTAATTATATTCCTCGACTGTTTGAAAGAAATTTACCTGCCAAATTGTCTGGGACAGGCCTCAGACAACATCATTTTTCCTATGGCTATTGATTTATTGCTATTTTCAATGCCAGTGTCTTATTTTGGTATTCATTTCCCTATAAAATAATCCATGTCCTTAAAATTATTAAATATATTATGGCAGACTTTGTCTTTGTAATTATCTCAAACACCCAACATCACACAGCACTGAAATAATAACCCCCCACTTCCTAATTTGCTGTTCTGAGGAACACTAATAGGCCAAATATTATTAGTTGTGTTTAAAAGAAAAAAATTTATTTCTTAAATAGGCTTGGGAAATGTTGAATTAGACAAAGTTAAATAGTTTTTACTCTTAAACTGAAGAACATACTCCTTAAAAAATAATAGTCAATATTTACTGCATAATGACTCTCTAAGAGGGGCTATTGTATACAGCGTTTTGTAAACTTATTTGATCATCTCCTATAGGAATTTTTTTTTTAAATGCAATTTAGAATTGCTACAGCAAACATAGTCTGGTTAAAATGGGAAACAAGATTGCCACTGTCACTTTTATTATTTAGCACTGTTTTGGGAGAGTTTAACTCATGCAGTCAGAAACTATGTTATAAATTTTGAAAAGAGGGAGAATATACTATTGTAAGTCATAATTGATATGATTGCTTACCAGGAATAACTCGAAAGGATCAAATGAATATCTCAAAAATTAATAAATTTCAGTAAAGTGCCAATTTAAACTTAACTTATGAAAATATATTCTTCCCCTATATAGCAAAATTCACCATATAGCTAACATATAGAAAAAGAGCTCCCAATCACAGTATTGTTTCCTGTCTGTCCTAGGAATATATTTATCATAAATTATATAGGACTGAAATACATAAAACTTTCTTGAAGGACATAAAACACTTTTTAAAAATGAGGCAATGTATGGGGCACCTGGGTGGCTCAGTTGGTTAAGTGTCCGACTTCAGTTCAGGTCATGATCTCGTGGTTTTTGAGTTGGAGCCCAGCGTCAGGGTCTGTGCTGACAGCTCAGAGCCCGGAGCCGGCTTCGGATTCTGTGTCTCTTTTCTCTCTCTGCCCCTCCCCTGTTCACACTCTGTCTCTCTCTCAAAAATGAATAAACTTAAAAAATTTTAAAAAAATGAGGCAATGTATTTTTTTCTGGAAAGCACTGCAGTTCTGTAGTTCCTAACATCATATCAATTTAATATGATCCCAATCAAACTTTATTGGGGGGGTTATTAACTGTAAAGTTAATCTGGTAAAATAAATGTGTCAGAATCATCCAAAAACTGTGAAAAATAAAAATAAAAAAGATAGACTTACCCAAACAGATATGAAGTTTTATTTCTAAATTAGTAATTACAGGATGGTGGACTGGGACTACAATATTCAGTGGTACTGAGAGTATTCAGACACATAAGTGTGTGTGTGTGTGTGTGTGTGTGTGTGTGTGTGTATAGACACATACATATACATAAGTATATATATAACATATCAAATGGGGGGATGGGCAACAAGATAAATAATGGCTAAGAACTGACTAACCCTTTGGGGGAAAAACGTTGGAATACCTAAACTCATACATCAAAATAGCTCCAGATAGGGCAAGGAATTTTTTTTTAACAAAACCATTAAAATTAGAGAAATACAAGATTTATATAATCTTGGGGTGGGGCAATCCTATTAAACATGATCTTAGAGCCAGAAGGCAAAAAAGGAAAGATTTATCCATTTTTAATTTTTTTATTTAGTCATTTTTAATGCATTTTTCCCTGTGCACAAGAGAAATAACTGATAGAGTCAAAAGATACAGTTTCCTTTATACATAGCAGGTAAAAGTAATGCAAACATCACATGACACTTTTCAGTGAAAATTACATTTCCAATTACAGATCAAAATGCTTATTAGGGTCTCTTTATGGGAGAAGATGAGAAGGAAGTCTTAGGTAAAAAGCACTTTCCTGGCATTACTACACTGATCCTTCAGGCTGCACAAATTAAGGTCATATACAGTTAATTGGAAAATGTTGACACAATGTCACACTGTAAGTTTTCTGTACAATTAAATGTATACTTAGAGATACCAGGATAAACATTTCTACTATATTTTAACTGAACTTGCCTAGCCAACATTTTCACTGAGTTTATCAAAGATGCTGTAAGATTCTACAAAATTTTGATATACCTAGCTCCAGAAATATTTCTTATATTCTTTCCCATTTTAGTTACACATGTTCTGCTTAGAATCTGTTGTAATATTTCTGGATGTACAGTTCCAATTGTGCTTACTGTACTGTGTACAAATATAGCAAAAAAAGAGCAAAGAATGGTATAAATCTTACAGCATTTTGCTAGCAAAAATACATGCCAAAGTCACAATAAGCAATATTGTACCACAAATTAGAAAGCTTTAAATAGTTTGCTTCTGTTTTTAATTATTTTCATTCTACATTAAATTACTATCATAGGCTAATGTTTAAAATGCAAATAAAGTGGACATCTGTAGGACAAAGCTTATTCATCCAACTGTGAAGGTTGATACCGGTTTCCAAAAATCACAATGAATGCAGAATAAAGAGAAGTGTTTGCATGCAACACCTTTGAGTGAAACAGCATTGATTACCACCATTCAAAACAGGGAGGGAGGGAGGGAGGGAGGGAAGGAAGGAAGGAAGGAAGGAAAGAGGGAGGATGGAAGGAAGGAAAGGACAGTACAGGAGGGAGGGACAGAGGGATGGATTCCACTTTTAAATGCATATTAGACTTATAACTAGACAGACTTAAAAGAATCAAAATGAAAGTAAAGCACGATTTTGTGTGTGTTTAAAGATTTAAGAGCCATTATCAAAAATAAGATACATTTTTTTTCAAGGTACAGAAATGTAATTACGATGGCTGTGAGCCCAGCAGCCTCTCAATAGCTGCATTGATGTCGCCTCCTGTTGCTATTAGAGCCTGCAAGTTTGCCTCACGGTTTAAGAACCCCATTGCGTTGAGCTGTTCCAGTTGTTGCTGAAATCTGACTTCTGGATTTGGTAGCTGTGGAGGATTTGCCCCAGCCAGAGCCTGCACCATTTGCTGAATGAACTGCTGGTTGGGTCCAGATTCTGATGTTGGGCTAGTGGTTTCATTGGGTGTAGAGCTAGACACAGTGGGCCCAGGGGGGCCACCAGAGCCAGTGGAGCCAGGGCCTGCAGGGCCAGTGGGTCCTATGGGCCCAATGGGGCCTATAGGGGTAAATGGGACTATGGGACCTATGGGGCCTATGGGTGTGACTGGGCCTACAGGGCCTATAGCGGTTCCCAGCACCCCTACCCCCACACCTGGAGTGAAGCTTGGAATGAGGCCAGGAGCTTCAGTGGCTAATGTCTGTAGCCCCTGCTGGATCTGCATTAAAGCCTGCATTGCTCTTGGGTTTGACATGGCTGACAGTGTATCTGGATTCTGCATCTGCTGCAGGAAAGCTGGGAGCTGTGGACGCATTTGCTCCTGCAACTGAGGATTTGCAGTAAACACTGGGCTATTCAGCATCATCTGTGCAGCCAAATCTGGATTCTGGCTCAGCGACTGCATCATGCTTCTCATGTAGGGTGCAGACAGCATATTCTGGATCAGTTGGGGATTTTCAGTTATCTGTTGTAGCAAGCTCTGCATTCCTGGGGTACTGAAGATGCTGGCGACATAGTTGGCTGCAGCCACAGTGTTCCCAGTAGCACTGCTGGAGCTATTGCCAGACCCACTGCCACTGCTTGTGGTTGTGCTGGTGGTCGCAGAACTCTGGGTAGCTGGTGGTGGCGCCCATGGATTGGGTAGTGGATCTCTATTTTCTGTGCGGGAAGGCTGTGTACCTTCCCCGGAGGAAGAACTGCTCCCCACCGAGGCAAACGGATTACCTCCAAACTGCTCTTGTGCAGCATTCAGCATGGGTTCTTGAATGTCAGTGTACATGCGTCGTAGAGCATTGTAGCCACCTGGGATGCTTTCAAGATTGCTGAGAGCCAGGTCTTGATTTCTCATCATCTCTTGCATCATGGCTGGATTCCTGGCAATTTCAAGGGTCTGCCTCATTATATCTGGGTTGTTGAGCAGGTGACTGATTTCTGGGTTTCTCTGAATCAACTGCTGCATCTGTGGATTGGCCATTATGAGCTGCCTCATCAGATCAGGATTTGAAAGCATGCTCTGAACAAAGGGATTTTCCATGATTTGGATCATCATCTCGGGGCTGGAGAGGAGCTGCTGCTGCATCTGGTTCTGGAGCTCAGAGAAGTTGGTCGAGCTCAAGCCCAGGCTGCTAAGGCCTGCAAGTCCTCCCAGGCTCCCCAGCCCAAACGGGTTACTATTTGTGGAAATAGATGTGGAGTTACTCCTGGGAGTCGACGCGGAGGTAGTGTTAGTTCCCGCGGCATTACTAGGCTGTGTGGACTGGCCCTGAGGTCGGTTCTGGCTTTTAATTACAAGATGAACAGTCAGTCCATCATGGATGCCATGTTGGATCAAGGTATCTTGATCTTTTAAGATTTTTCCGGCAAAAATCAACACTAGCTGATCGGTTTGGGATTTGAAGCGTTTCGAAATAGCTTCCTTAAACTGCTGGACTGAGCTATTCTCGGGCACCGCGAACTCCTCTTTCTCTTTGGGGGTCTTCACAGTGACTTTGATGATTTTTGGCTCGGCCGGGGCAGAGGCAGGGCCTTGGGCTGCAGCAGGGCCGCGGGAGGGGCGCGGGGGGCCGCTACTCTCGCCGTTCTCAGCCATGGCGGCCGCGGTGACGCAGGCAGACTGGGAAGGCGCGGGCGGGCGAGAGAGAGAGCGAGGGAAGAAGGAAGGAAGGAGGCGCCGCCACAGCAGGCTGGGCCGGGCCGGGCGGGGAGCGCAGAGCACGGTACCTCTGTGATGAAGACTGCGGTTCCCTGGTCCTCCAGTGGAGATAAGGCTCCGTAGGCCGCGGGGGAAGTCTCTGCCGTTCAGGTCTCTAGGCCTCCTTCGCCGCTGAGTGATCACACCAAGCGCACTCCCAGCAACTCCTGCAGCCGCTCTGCCCGCTCCTCCCCGCCCCGTCCCCTCCCCCAGTTCCGAGCTCGCCTCCCCGCCCCCTCTGCTGACGCGGCGCCAGGCCCAGAATGATAGATTCCACTCGGTCAAAATTAAAAACTTCTGTAGTGGGGGGGTGGGGGCGAAGGAGCGAGAGAAACAAAGAGAGAAAGAAACAAAGAGAAAAGAGAAGACGAGAGAAAAAAGAGGGAAGAGGGAGGGAGGGAGAAAAGGAGCCAGTTTCTGAAAAGGACATTAAAAGACCAATGGAGAATATATTATGTATGTAAATATATATGCACTCCATAAGCCAAGGAAGGATGAGAGCCCGAATCAAACTGACCCCATGTAAAAGACGAAAAATAAAAAAGAACTCCGACTAAGCAAAAAGGAAAAGATTAATACCCACAGTGGGGGAAGGGGAAAAGACTGGGCCTGAGCATGCATTTTACAGAAGAAGCACAAATGGCCAATGGGCATAAAAATGGATGCTTAAGCTCACTAGCAATAAAAAAATTCAATTAGAATAATGAGATTCTACATCTGCCTTTATCATATTGTAAAAATGAAAAATAATGATAAACCTTATCGTCAACAAAGCGCTGAGAAAATGCATTCTCATGTCCGTTAAAGTGTAAATTTTATAATTGTGAGGCAATTTGAAAATATATATCAACATTTTGAATATTTCCACCTTTATTTAGAAATGCCTTATTTAGACACCTCCTCTACGAAACTAGATAAGGATGCAAAAAAATATATGTATAAAGTGTATATGAACTGCAGTATCTTAAAAATTATTTTTAAAGATAATCGCACAGCATTGGTGAAATATATTATCATACAATAAAATAATATGTACTGTGTGTAAAAAATGGGTGGTTAATTCACACGATATAAAGTATCTTTAAAGGTATGTATGAAATAAATAGTAGTTATAGGGAAATCACAGTATTTTCACTTTCAGCTTTTTATATTTCTGTATAGTTAGAAATTATACAAGGATGTATGTTTCAATACCAAAAGATGAAGATATTTTTTTATTTTAAAACTATTTTTAAACAGTTTGTATAGGTAAATTCTCTTTAAGTGTATGCATAAATAGAAATCTGGAACACTATTCACTGGTATATTAATTTTAGTTATTATTTAGTGTTGAAATTATGAATAACTATTCTTTTCATTTTTTAAATTAGATTTTAAATTTTCCTATAGTTTGTAGAAGAATACACTGCATTTATAAATTTTTAAAATTCAGAAGGTATTTGGGGGAAGACTAAAGGTAGAAATTAATGAGAATACAATTTTAGTGGCAAACATTAACATGTTTACCTAATTTAATTAAGATTAAGAAAGAGAAGGGTCACCTGGCTGGCTCAGTTGATTAAGTGTCGGACATTGGCTCAGGTCATGATCTCATGGTTATATATATATAACATATATATATATGTATATATATGTGTGTGTGTGTGTATATATATATATATATATATATATATACCATATACATGGTACGAATTTATATATTTTGGATACAAATCCTCTCTTAGATATGTCATTTGAAAATATCTTCTCCCATTCCACAGGTTACCTTTTAGTTCTGTTGATTGGTTCCTTCACTGTGCAGAAGCTTTTTTATTTGATGCAGTTCCAATAGTTTATTTTTGCTTTTGTTTCCCTTGTCTCAGGAGACCTATTTAGAAAGAAGTTGCTATGGCTAATGTCAAAGATCTTACTGCCTGTGTTCTTTTCTAGGATTTTTTTCTAGGATTTTTATCATTTCATGTATCACATTTATGTTTTTAATCCATTTTGAATAATCCAATTAAAAATGGGCAGAATACATGAATAGATATTTTTTAAAGAAGATATACAGATGGCCAACAGATACATGAAAGAATGCTCAGCATTCCTGGCCATCAGAGAAATGCAAATCAAAACTACAGTAAGATACCACCTCAAACCTGCCAGAATAGCTAAAATCAACAACAGAAGAAACGAGTGTTGACAAGGATACGGAGAAAGGGGAACCCTCTTGCACTGCTGGTGGGAATGCAAACTGGTGCAACCATTGTGGAAAAAGGTATGAAGTTTCCTCAAAAAGTTAAAATGGAACTACCCTACAATCCAGCAATCTTACTACTGGTTATTTACACAAAGAATGAAAAAAATACTAATTCAAAGGGATACATGCACCCTGATATTTATGGCAGCATAATCTACAATAGACAAATTATGAAAATAGCCCAAGTGTCCTTTGATAGATGAATGGATAAAAAAGTCGTGGTATATGTATATACAAAGGAATATTACTCAGGCATAAAAAAGAATGAAACCTTGCCATTTGCAAGGACATGGATGGAGCTAGACAGTATTATCCTAAACAAAATAAGTCAGTCAGAAAGAACAAGTGCCATATGATTTCACTCATATGTGGAGTTTGGAAGACAAAGCAAATGAACAGAATGGTAAAAAAGAGATAGAGGTCACCAGGAAGCAGACTCTTAACTATAGAGAACAGACTGGTGGTTGCTGGAGGGGAGATGGGTGGGGGGATGGGTGAAATAGGTAATTGAGATTAAGGAGATTGCTTGTTGTGATGAGCACCAAGTGATGTATGGAACTATTGAATCACTATATTGTATACCTGAAAGTAATATTACACTGTTTTTTTTTTTAACTGGGATTTAAATTAAAAAATATAGTATGATTAATAGAATACAGAAGATAAGAGGAGTGAACTAGATCTAAATATATTAATGTGTATAGATCTCAAAAACTTAATTAGTACAACACTTTATGGTGTTTATAGATGCATTCATATGTATGTGAAACTAATGGAAATATGCTAGAGTGACTCCTACCAAACTTACAGTCATGAGGAACCCTAAATAAAATAGGACACAGAATAGTTACTAAAAGGAAATTAAATTAAATCTATTTCATCTTTAAAAATGAAAGGAAATATGACAAAATAGCAACATTTAATTATTGATGGTGGGGATATAAGTATTTGTTATAATACTGTTGTATTTTTCAGATATTGAATTCTCTTAAAATATAAAGAAAATATCATAGAGGTACACCTGGCTAACTCGGTCAGTAGAGCATGCAACTCTTGATCTCAGGATTGTGAGTTCAAGCCCCACATTGGACATAGAGCTTACTTAAAAAAATATCATGCCATCTTTTTTGAAAATTAAAACAGAATTAACCATTTATGGAACAAAATGCAAATCAGAGTTCTTATTAGAGTGAATTTAGAAAAAAACAATAATGAGAACAAATACCTCAATAATTATGATGGATTTTCCGATGTGTTGTCTGAAGATCTTGTCAAAAAAAAAAAAATCCAGATTTCTTGGCTCCACTCCAAATCTACCAAAATAAGTGGTGCTCAGGAGTGTACATTCTTATCAAATTCCAATTTAATGATATTTGAAATACCAGGTACTATGTGAATGAACTCAAGCAAATTTACACACTCAAAGACCTTAAGTACCAAACATAAAGGATGAAAATAAATGAGTTAGGCAATCAAATAAAAAAGACAACAGAAAACAAAAGAGGGAAGAAGGACACTGGCTACAAAATGGTAAAAGCAAACATTAATGAAATAATAGAAAAAAAGATTTGTTCAGTAAATCCAAGAAATTCTTTGAAGATGAATGGCTAACATTAACAAAACAGAAAACAACAGGTGTTGGCAAGGATGTGGAGAAAGGAGAACCCTCTTACACTGTTGGTGGGAATCCAAACTGGTGCAGCCGCTCTGGAAAACAGTATGGAGGTTCCTCAAAAAGTTAAAAATAGAACTACCCTATGACCCAGCAATGCACTACTGATATTTACCCAAAAGATACATAAATACTTACTTGAAGGGATGTTTATAGCAGCATTATCAACAATAGCCCAGTTATGGAAAGAACCTAAATGTCCGTCAACTGATGAATGAATAAAGAAGGTATGGTATTGGGGCGCCGGACTGTCTCTGTTGGTTCAACGTCCAACTCTTGATTTTTGCTTAGGTCATGATCTCATGGTCTTGAGATCAAGCCCTGAATTGGGATCCATGCTGTACATGAGCCCACTTAAACTTCTCCCTGTCTCTCTCCCTCTGTCCCTCCCCCTCTCTCTTTCTCCTTCTTTCTTAAAAAAATTTTAAAAAGAAGGTGATACACACACACACACACACACACACACACACACACACACACACACTGGAATATTACTCAGCCATCAAAAAGAATGAAATGTTGCCATTTGCAATGATGTGGATGAAGCTATAGAGTATTATGCTAAGGAAAATAAGGCAGTCAGAGAAAGACAAATACCACATGATTTCACTCATATGTGGAATTTAAGAAACAAAACAGATAAACTAGGGGGGAAAAGGCAAACCATAAAACAGACTCTTGGGTATAGAAAACAATGAGGGCTGCTGGAGGGGAGATGGATGGGAAGATGGGTTAAATAGGTGATGGGCATTAAGGAGGGCACTTGTTAGGATGAGCACTGGGTGTTACATATAAGTGATGAATCACTAAATTCTATACCTGAAACTAATATATTACACTGTATGTTAACTAACTGGAATTGAGATAACTTGACAAAAAAAAAAAAAAAAAAAGAAATTCTTTGAAGAAGCAAGTCAATTAGATAAACCATCATTAGGTGATTCTTTTACAAGTTCCTTACCAAAGAACACAGCAAGTAGCAAAAGC